ACCGAACCGGTGTGGACATGGTATGGGAAACAAGTAAAAAAACGTTTTATCGCCGCAGGATGGGCGAGGTTACGCCGAGTTGATGACAGTGAATGATGCCTGGAAAGCATGCAAACATTTGTTGCAGATTGTCTCGAACCTGCAGAAGACCGAGTTGTGGAAGGAGCATCTGGACACTGATTTATACGAGCCCGCAGAAAAATTCATGATGTTGAGCTTGCATTTGCTGATGAACAGGGTCTGGACTTGCAGTCTTCTTTCACTTGCACCAGATGCCTATGCAGGATTGCTGTCACCTGATGCAGAAATTCCAACGACCACGGCTTTGAAGGCAAAGCGCCATCACAGATCACTCTTGAGTTTGGAGTCGACATTAGCACAGTCCACTCCAAGTGTTCATGCCCGGCAACTCTTCACAGACCTGCAAGTTGGAATCAGCCATCCTTCGAGACTTTTTCTGGACACATTGGAGGCACGGGGATATGAAGTGGCGCCTCCGGGGTCAGAAGACATTGTCGTGGATATTGATCGGATAATGTTGACACAGAGCAGGACGGGGAGATGGAGGGCTCTGTGCCTGAAGAAGCAGATGACGGCGCCGGAGTTGGTGACATAGTTTTTGACGGGCAAGAGGGCAGAGTGCCAGCTCAAAGAACTGTAACAATCTCGGTGCCAGCATGCCCTGCAACCCACCTGCTGAGTGTTCTGGTGCAGACTCACAATGATTCTTTGTTGAACAAAACCCGAAAGCAAACATACTCCACGATTCAAACTGTGATCGAGAATTCCAACGTCTTTGAAAGCCGTTCAATCCAGCATCCGGCAAAAGTCAATCTGGAATATTTTGAAAGGGAGTTTGGGAACGTGGACAGGAAGCGCCAGAAGTTGTGCTTCAGAGGATGTGTCCACAAGCTGCCGTCACAGTATACCGAGATTGTCGGCGACAAGACATGGAACACCCTGTCAGAAGAGACACTCGAACGAGCATCAGCTGCGTGGTCATGGCTACTTCACTACAATGATGCAAGACTGGCATCTCTGCAGGTTCCCTTGCGCGCTGGGAAGTTTAGCAACCTTGCAGCCCCTTTGAAGATCTTGAAACTTGTCTTGGATGAGACATGCTATCTCTGTCTTGGGGCAAAAACCTGGGCTGCTCTCATGTGGCCAGTGGTCTAGCATGAGGACCAGTCGACAGGAGAGATATATTTTGTTTTGAAGGCAGAGTGCCCGGATGGTGACGGAGTCAAGGCCTGCTGGATTCATTTGTATGAGCCCCAGTATTGGGAAGTCCTCGAAACAGAGGCAGTCTTCTGGAATGGCTTCATGTGCCTCCGTCTTTGTGCTACAAAGCCCAGTGTCACTTCTATCCTATATGTTGCAGCATCCCAAGTGACATGTTTTCATTTAGGATTTTGTCAACTGTCGACCCATACAGTAAATAGTACAATTAACTTATATATAAGTTTTGCTGCGCTCGTTGTTGCTGACTCGACTGAGGGAAATGTCACAAGCGTGTCGGACTCTTGCAGACTGCCAGAATCTCGCCGAGCATGTGATCTCCCAGACTGAAAATGTAGACGAAAGAAAGCGAAAGGAGCTGCAACGAATGCGCCGTCCAAATCTCATGAGCCTGCTCGCGTTTCATGTCGTTCCGGAAGATGAGGATTTCACGCGCAAAATTGAGGCTATGTGTTCGACAGCGTCGACAGCGAAAGATTCAACAGACGATGAGGATGAGGATGACATTATCATGGGGGACTTTGTTGATGAGCTGGTTCTTGACGACCTGCTTGCTGAGGACAAACAGGAATTTAAAATGGTCTCAGACGCAGTCAAAAAACGCAGAATCAAAAGGGTGCAACAAACCTGGCAGGCCATCAAGACGCAGCAAGCAAAGGCCAAGGCAAAGGGCAAGGCCAAAGCAAAGACCAAAGCAAAGGCCAAGCCAAAGGCCAAAGGGAAAGCCAAGAGAAAGTTTTGTCGCCCACGTATGTTGCCCAGGAAGCAACCCACGGCTCCGGATGGAAATGGTCAAGAGGGAACAGAAGGCAGAGTGCCAGCCCCTCCTGCTGAGGTGCCGGTGGAGCCTGCTGCAATCCCTGTTCCAGCACCCAGAGAGGAGCCTGATAAGTACGGGGAGGTCGAGCAAGTGCCAGCCCCTCCTGCTGAGATGCCGTAGGTGCCTGCTGCAATCCCTGTCCCAGAGCCTGATGATCACGTGGAGCCCGAGGAAGGCAGAGTGCCAGTCCCTCCTGCTGAGATGCCGGAGGTGCCTGCAGTGCCTGTCCCAGCACTCGAGCCACGGGTGGTTGTACCCCGTGGCCCCCAACATCAACGGCAGCCGAACCGTGTTGACTACCAAGGGGTACGGAGACCTGTTCAATGCCCGGAGTGTCCCAAGATCGCTGGCGAGATGAAGTACGACCCGAATCCTGGTGGCACTGACAAAGCAATTTGGATGCTCCGAGTTCGTGTGACAGAACGCGGTCTCTTGGACAGATTCAGAACATTTGTTCGGTTTAGCTTCGACGTGGTTTCCTGATCTGCTGTGTTTGTGTCACATTGCATGAACCAAATGTGTCTGGCATTGGAGGCGAGTGGTCCCACCTCGTACCCTATCACTGGAAACGTGTGGCTTCCAAGATGACAGAAGCGCAGGCCGTACAACACGTCATTGACCATAGGCCCTGTTGTGGCCCGAGCAGGAGGCCTAGCGACAACTAGAGAACTCATCGTGTGCTGGAATGATAAAAGTGTGTGTCTGTCTGCGTGCTTGCATTGATGGCAGCGGGTCCTGCTAGATTGGAGTGTGTCCGAGAGAGAGAGCGAGAGACTGTGTGTTTCTGTTCGGGAAAGACGGGTTGCGAAAGCATGTTTACATCTTCACACATGTGGAATTTGTCACGTGCAAGGTCATGGACAACTATTTCGAGTGCCACAATCCCGAAGCCGCACAAACTAGCACATGTGGTTTGAAGCCGTGTGTGCTTGTGACTGAACAGTAGCCGTCCAGAGCAATGCAATTCGCCCCGATCGAACGAAGCGAGTGCTTCTTCGGAGGCGCGCTCTCCCCAATCTGCATGAAAACCGCTTGCATTCGCTTGGAGAAAGAGCCTGCCCAGTGGCAATCAGCTGAGAGATGGAAGGAAACTCATGACGTGCCTTGGGAAATCATGGTTCGCTACCTACGTTACTGGCCACTTATTGGCTCCCGCATTACAGGACGCCTCAAGCTTCTTCGAAAGCACGAAGGCCTCTTCCCGCAGTGTTTTCAGGTGGATGAAGGAGAAGGACCGCTGGAGTTGCCGCTCGTTTGTGATTTTGTTTATGTTCGGAATGACGAAGATGAACAACGACGGCAGTTCGTCCTTCAGATGAAAAACCCCTCACTTGTTGCCATCCGTCTCGGTAATGCGGGGGAACTTCTTGACCTTGATGCTGGAGGAATACCCATGACCGACCAGCTTCGTGCAAAGTTGGGGATGGATTCAAAATGGGGTCCAGAAGGAAGCCCCTGGGTTTCTGCTTAATTAATCTCGAGGCGGGAAGGCAGAGTGCCAGCAGCTGGGAAGGCAGAGTGCCATGATTCGCTTGACAGTGTGGTCAACGTAGAAAAGCGCGACATCCAGCAGATCGTAGCCACTTCACGTGATTTGTGCATCCCTAAACCCAAGAGCCACACTCCCCTGAAACTCTAACCCTAACCCTGTCATTACCCTCAAACCATAATACTATGGCACTCTGCTTTCTAACCCCAAACACTAAATACTAAAGACCATGAAACTCTAACCCTAACCCTTTCATTACCCTCAAACCCTAATACTATGGCACTCTGCTTTCTAACCCCAAACCCTAAATACTAAAGACCCTGAAACTCTAACCTCTGCCTTCTAACCCCAAACCCTAAATACTAAAGACCCTGAAACTCTAACCCTAACCCTTTCATTACCCTCAAACCCTAATACTATGGCACTCTGCCTTCTAACCCCAAACCCTAAATACTAAAGACCCTGAAACTCTAACCCTAACCCTGTCATTACCCTCAAACCCTAATACTATGGCACTCTGCCTTCTAACCCCAAACCCTAAATACTAAAGACCCTGAAACTCTAGCCCTAACCCTTTCATTACCCTCAAACCCTAATACTATGACACTCTGCCTTTTAACCCCAAACCCTGATTACTAAAGACCCTGAAACTCTAACCCTAACCCTTTCATTACCCTCAAACCTTAATACTATGGCACTCTGCTTTCTAACCCCAAACCCTAAATACTAAAGACCCTGAAACTCTAACCCTAACCCTTTCATTACCCTCAAACCCTAATACTAAGGCACTCTGCCTTCTAACCCCAAACCCTAAAGACCCTGAAACTTCAAACCCTGTGCCAGGTCTTCTTCATCTTCGTCTTCCTGGAAAAATTTAAAAAAGTTGTTTTTTGTTTTGAAAATTATTGAAAAGTCTTTTAAAGTCTTTAAACGTCTTTAAAAGTGTTTTGTATTCTAAATTTTTATTTTAAAGTTTTTAAACGTGTTTAAATGTTGTTTGTTTGTATTTTAAAGTTTGTAAACGTCTTTAAAGGTTTTGTGTATTTTAAAATTCTTAAAGTCTTGATTTTTGTATTTTAAAGTTTTTTGTGTCTTTTAAAGTTTTTAGAAGTCTTTAAACGTTCTTTTGTATTTTAAAGTTTTTAAAAGTCTTTAAAAGTTCTTAAAAGCCAACCGTGTCGAACAAGCCCTGTGGATCTAAACCTTGTGGTTCTGGTTCGGTGCAAAAGGGCAATGATACAATACTGGTCACCATGTGTTCCATCGATGCATGGTATGGGTAACAACCCATGTCAGGTCAGGCCGGTATATGACGGGGATACCATACCATACCACATTCGACACATCAAGCATGGATTTCATATATAAATATACACATAACAAATGTAAACATCTATATGTGACGACTAATGACTGATATTGCCGCAGTACAGACAATGCTTGGCCGCGGGCCAGGCCGCCCACTCCAAAACCACAGCCTCTGTTCCACAAACATCTCTCAGAAACAGACCTGGAACCAACTCCATGTCACACATGTTAGGTTCTGCGTGGCAACTCATTGCAAGCGAGACGCTGAAGATAGTGGCAATGCTGACACATTGTCCCATCGCAGCTAAATGGCACGGGGAGCCACCGGCGTGGTAAAAATGCTCAAGTTCCGCTCCAGCTCCATGCAACTTCCTTCAGGGTAGAGTAACTGTGTCCTGGCCACGACGAAGCTAGGAATGTCACGCGGAGTCCATGGTCCAAGTCATTGGCAAACTAAAGTGTCAGTTGGTACGGAATCTCAGAACCTTGAGGCCCAGCTGTGCAGGCATGCGCCGCGGACTTCAAAAGCAGAAATGAGATGTTCAACATCTCATTTCGTCGAAGGCCAGTGGTTAAGTCTGGCCTGTGTACAAGCTATATACTTCGAGCAGCGACCCGAAACGTAATCAGTGATCAGGCTACAGGAACAAGCAGCGCTGCTCCAGAAGACTCCGCTACCTGCAGCTCAAATGGACATCAAAGCCTTTCACCCAGCCAACAAATGCAGCCAAATAAGAGTCACGACGACATCTTCCCCAAAGGGTCGCGAGATGCTTGCTCAGCGACTTCGGCAAGGATGCGAAGGTCAGCTGTCGGAGCTACTGCACACACACGAGACGGCTAGTATTTCCTTTGGAAATCTGGTCGGCACGAAGGGCAAGAGGTGTGACGGCAGATTTTTGGCCATCTTAGCCGCATTCCCTAAAGCGACAAGCCAGGACGTCGCAAAGCAAGCAGCACAAGGTCGACAGCAATTGCCCAAATTGATAAAGCCAAGATCAGTAGGTGGCCGCCTTGGGATTGGTAGGACCGGGCTCTTTGATGGTGCCAGGACTGTATGGAACTGCAGGAGTAGCAGGAGTAGCAGTATAGTAGCAGTCGCAGTATTAGCAGTATTAGCAGTATTAGTAGTATTAGTAGTATTAGTAGTATTAGTAGTATTATTCTTATTAGTAGTAGTAGGAATAGTGGTAGCAGTAGCAGTAGCAGTAGCAGTAGCAGTAGCAGTAGTAGTAGTAGTAGTAGTAGTCGTAGTAATCGTTGTAGTAGTAGTAGTCGTCGTCGTCGTCGTAGTTGGAGTAGTAGTAGTAGTAGTAGTAGTAGTAGTAGTAGTAGTAGTAGTAGTAGTAGTAGTTGTTGTTAGTAGTAGTAGTTAGTAGTAGTGGTGGTAGTAGTAGTAGTAATAACAATAATAGTAGTACCAGCAGCAGGAGCAGGAGCAGGAGCGAGAGCGGAGCAGTAGCAACAGCAGGAGCAGCAGCGGCGGCAGCAGTTGTCGCGGTGGTTTGGGAGGTGGCAGGACGTAATACCTGCGACATTATGAGCTGAGCTGCGAGGTTTTGGGGCTTCATGGGCAAAGTCTTCGGCCGGGCAAACCAAGCCAAGGCGCCGAATACCTGGGAAAACAACTCAGAGCTCAGAGAGCAAAAGCTTCAACGGAGCAAAGTGGCCTCACGTGCCGGAAAGCTGCTTTTCCGTTCAGGTCAACGTCTGCCGACACCCTGCCCGCAGCACCACCGTACCTGAGATGCCGATGTGGATGTCAAGCGCACAAAGCAAAGCCGAAGAGACACGGAAATATCCACGAGTCAATGTATATGACTGGACAGAAGCCATCCGCCGCTAAGTTCAGAATCTGCTCGAGGCCAGGGCAGTTGCTTGAAAGCCTGCACTGCGACGCTCGAACGATGCGCATGGCGGTGCTGAAGCGTTTCCAGCAAGGTTTCGACTGCGATCCCGGCGAACGCCGCGACAAGCCCACGAGCAGCAGGTTGCTTGCAGTGACGGCGTGCACTTGCTCTCTGTTTCAGCATCGGAATCTGTGCGTAGCGCTTCTGTTTCTACAAGACTTGCAAGGAAATCCATTATGTCTGTCCCGTGGACAGAAGCTTTGTTGGGTGCTCGTACTGCAGTCTTGCTGGATGTGTCAACGCTCTACATGAGATTATTGGGCCCGTCGATTTTCGCAGGGCTGTGTTTGCGAACAGCTGTGGGCGTGGATAAGTGGAAAATGCAAAGAACGCGAAAAGCCGAAAAGTGAAAATTTTACGCGAAAAGCGCGAAAAGTTGAAAAGTCGAAAAGCACAGCAAAACGCGAAAAGTCGAAAAGCCGCGAAAAGTCGCCGCAAAAACAACAATTGGCACACATCTGAGGCATCTTGGCACAGCTTTGGTCTGCAGAGGGCAAAGGTAGATCCAGGATAATGTCAAGGATTCTGGGTGCTGGGGGAAGTGTTCTGGCCTTGGGGCCTATTAAGATTGCAACCTTGTCAAATCAAAGCACCGGAAAGGATGTTCGTCTTCACTACGTGTGCGAGGTGTCCATGGCACGGGGAAGTCGATGTGGAAGGTTACACAAGAACACATAAACATTTGCATATGCTATGTGTGAGTAGACAAAACCAAAAATATTGTTATACGTACATGCATATGTATATAAATGTATCTGAATAAACAAATACATGCATACGAAATTCGTATACATACATATGCAAAGGAACGTATGTATGTGTATATATATACACACACATAAATACATATATGTTCTCACACATGTACACCAAAATTAAACCCTAAACCCCAAGCCCAAAAGCAGGAAGGCCCGAACGAGCTACAACCACAACTATGACTGACTTTACAAATGATCGTGTGACTATCGAGTCAGCTGGTGCCCGAACAAAAACTTGTACAAACGAAAATGAGAAGGCAAGAAAATTATACGTACATGCATATGTATGTACATGTATCTGAATAAACAAATACATACATAAGAAATTTTCTTACATACATATGAAGAGGTATGTATGTATGTATATACACATAAGTACACATATGTTTATACACATGTACACCACTGTTAAAACCTTAAACTCCAAGCCCGGAGAACATACTAATACTGACTGACACGAACAAACCCCATAAGCTCCTTTCAAAATCCAAGCTCTTCCAACATCTAGCCCAAGCCTATAGCGCCCTGTCAATCGTCAAACGCTGAAGTGGATGTCTTGCTTAGTGGTGCGCCCACCGTCGACCAGAACAGCAAGGCCCGAATGAGCTACAACCACAACTATGACTGACTTTACAAATGACCGTGTGACTATCGAGTCAGCTGGTGCCCGAACAAAAACTTGTACAAACGAAAATGAGAAGGCAAGAAAATTATACGTACATGCATATGTATGTACATGTATCTGAATATATAAACAAATACATACATAAGAAATTTTCATACATACATATGAAGAGGTATGTATGTATGTATGTATGTATGTATATACACATAGGTACACATATGTTTATACACATGTACGCCACTGTTAAAACCTTAAACTCCGAACCCGGAGAACATACTCACTGACACGAACAAACCCCATAAGCTCCTTTCACAACCCAAGCTCTTTAAACATCTAGCCCAAGCCTATAACGTGTCAATCGCCAAACGCTGACGCGGCTGTTTTGCTTAGTGGTGCGCCCGGCTTAACGACTTCGTCGATGGTTGGTAAACCGGTGAATGCTAAGTGTAGGCGTGTTTGATCTAAGCGCTACAATGACACTGTGACTGCCCCGCAGCAGGCCTGACTCCACACGAGCCTTTTGACAGCCAATGGCCCAACGGCAGGGAGCGGCTGTTTTGCTTAGTGGTGCGTCTGGCTGAGGGCTGCAGAAAAACCCACCGCCGGCCAGAGCAGGAAGGCCCGAACGAGCTACAACCACAACTATGACTGACTTTACAAATGATCGTGTGACTATCGAGTCAGCTGGTGCCCGAACAAAACTTGTACAAACGAAAATGAGAAGGCAAGAAAATTATACGTACATGCATATGTATGTACATGTATCTGAATAAACAAATATATACATAAGAAGTTTATATACATACATAATCAAAGGTATGTAATTAAGTAAATATATATATATACATACACGTAAGTTCGCGTAAGTACACATATGCTTATACACATGCACACCGCTGTTGAACCAACTCCAAGCCCAGAGAACATACTCATTGACCCGAGTTTAACAAACCCCATATGCTGCTTTCAAAACAGGAGCTCTTTAAACATCTAGCCCAAGCCTACAACGCCCTGTCAATCGTCAAACGCTGAAGCGGATGTCTTGCTTAGTGGTGCGCCCACCGTCGACCAGAACAGCAAGGCCCGAATGAGCTACAACCACAACTATGACTGACTTTACAAATGATCGTATGACTATCGAGTCAGCTGGTGCCCGAACAAAAAGTTGTACAAACGAAAATGAGAAGGCAAGAAAATTATACGTACATGCATATGTATGTACATGTATCTGAATAAACAACTACATACATAAGAAATTTTCATACATACATATGAAGAGGTATGTATGTATGTATGTATGTATATACACATAAGTACACATATGTTTATGCACATGTACACCACTGTTAAAACCTTAAACTCCGAGCCCGGAGAACATACTCACTGACACGAACAAACCCCATAAGCTCCTTTCAAAATCCAAGCTCTTTCAACATCTAGCCCAAGCCTATAACGCCCTGTCAATCGTCAAACGCTGAAGTCCTAAAACGCAAAAAAACCGAAAGGAACAGCCGACTCCGAAAAGTCGAGAAAAATCGAAAAGCAGCGAACAGCTGCAAAGTACAGCAGAAAGTGAAAAGTCGAAAAGCCGCGAACAGTCGAAAAGTACAGCACAAGGCGAAAAGTCGAAAAACAGCGAAAAGTCAAAAAGTACAGCAAAACGCGAAAAGTTGAAAAGCGACGAAGAGCTGAAAAGCCGCGAAAAGTCGAAAAGTACAGCCAAACGCGAAAAGTCGAAAAGCAGAGAAAAGTCGAAAAGTGCAACAGAAACGCGAAAAGACGAAAAGTCGAAAAGCCGCGAAAAGTCGAAAAGTGCAACAGAAACGCGAAAAAACGAAAAGTCAAGAACTTTTCGACTTTTTGACTTTTCGAATTTCGTTTCGATTCTCCGCTTGTGGAAACCAATGCCTGCTTGCGTACTTTGGATTTTCGTGTCTCACTCTAGTTTCACCTCGTCTGATCAGGTCGAACCAAAGCTTCACAACAAGCTGGCGTGTGGCATTGTC